CATACAAGCCAATAGGCCGGCCAGTTTTGAACTACGCAGCGCCAGTGTGGTCGCCAGGGACTAGTAGGACGCAGTGGACGAAGCTACAGACTGTACAGACACCGCACTCAGGACAGCGACAGGAATGCCTCCTGATGTCGCCCGAACACCACCTGCACGGCGAGGCGCAAATGCTCCCTGTAAAGGAGCACAATATAATGCTCTGCAAGCAGTTCCTGATTGGGAGCCACAGAAGTGGCCACCCAAGCAGAACAGCTGCTTGCAGAGGAGCCCTCGCCTAGGCACGTCAGGAGGAACCTATATGAACTGACGGACGAAGTCCAGAGGTTCATTAAGCAACCTCTGGACCCGACAGCTTACCGACAGGCCCTGAACGGCATTCACAGGGACTCAGTCTCGAGTTATGTAGACTCTAGACCTGTGAATGCCGTTCTAGGCATACCACCCCCGGACATAGACGAGACGGAGCTTCATCTGCCTCGGGAGACACGCACAACACTTGCACAACTTCGCTCCGGCTACTGCAGCAGGTTGAACTCCTACCTGAGTAGGTTGAATGAGGATGTGCCGAATGAGTGTCCGGCATGCGGAGAGACCCCACATGACTCGAAACATCTCTTCGCATGCCCAGAAAACCCGACAACCCTAACGGTCTTGTCCCTGTGGACAAACCCCACAGAAGCTGCACGCTTCCTAGGGTTGCCGTTAGTGGAACTTGACGACAACGACTGAGATACCAACCGTCCTGGGCGGGGTTGTTGTAGCCGCTACAACAACAACAACAGGACATAGTAGCGTTGGATCTGCCAAAGGCTAAAGGAAGACGATAAGACGGTCGGAGAACTATCTGAATGGTCGACATTTGTCAGTTATTTTCAGATACAAAAGCAGCAAACCAAGGATAATTGATCAGGGTTTTCCACAGGGGGGTGTCCTATTCCCGCCGTTTAATTTTAACATACCGAAGCAGTGAGTCTCGATTGTCTCCTATGCTAACGACTGCTCTAGAATGCCCGTGTGGTCGCCGGGGACTAGCAGGGCGCAGTGGACGAGGCTACCGACATGCCAGAACACCACCTGCATGACGGGATCCAGATGCTTCCCATCAATGAGCATAATATAATGCTCTGCAGGCAGTTCCTAGTAGGGTGCCTAGTGATAGAACAATACGAGTACCGAGTACAGAATATCGATACTTTCCATGAGTACTAAGTAGTATCGAGGACTCGATACTTTTTGACAAGTAATGAGTAAATATCGCGAATACCAAAAAGTATCGACGTTTTAAAACCTTGTTTAGGTAAAATTTTGTTTCAATTACTTGAAAAATGTTTAAAAATTACCCCATGGGCATAACGCTCATTTACTTCAATACTGTCATAACTCAAAAAACGAAAAATTAATATATATTTTGCTCTGGTGAGCTACTGGCAATCGCTATGAAATTTTTATACAACATAGAAGAAGAGGTAGCAGTCATGTGGACATTTGGCTCGGTTAAAACTTCTTTAATAATTGGAAAACGAATCTCGTGCCATGCCTTCGATAACACTGGTCCACACAAAAAAAGTGGTCTTTGCTGTTAACCAGACCCACATATCAACATGTATCTATTGAGGTCCATTTGACTCGTACACGTCCTAAATTTGGAGTTAATTGCGAAAATTGTGGAAAAAATGGCAAAAGCGAGTCAAACGGACCTCAGATTCAGATTCAGTGGTTCGAAATACGTGGCGGAAAGTGGGTCTGGTTAAAAGCACACACCAATTTTTTTTGTGCCGGTGTAAGGAATGGATTAGGAGGGTGGTTTTCGGTTCGATAACTTGGCAATTTTCCAGAATAACGGAGCCTTCGTTTTCCAATGTATTCTATCTTGGTTTTAAATTCGAAATCCAGCCCGCTTTCGAAGAAAATTTTTGTGAAAGGGAGCTTATCTTTCCTTTAGATAATGGCTTTAGTTGTTTTTAAAAGCTTCAAAAAAGCCTTTTGCTATAAACATTTATTTTACGCTTTTAAACTTATTGCAAGATCTTTTCAAAAACTCCGTTAGAAATGCTTGTTAGATCAGACTTCAGCTATTAAAAGCAATGTCTATTCAATTTACAAAAAGAAATAGGTCATATGTATATTTATGTAAACAAAGCAATCTGATTTCTGTTAACTTTTCGCGTTTGCCCTAAAAATACTTGGAAGTACGAGTATTATCGATACTTTTTTGCAAATATGAGTACTGGCAGCGATTCTTTTTTAGAATAGTACTAGTATCGATACTTTTCTAAAAAGTTCTATCACTAAGGGTGCCATAAAAACCCTCTGGACCCGACTGCATACCGACAGGTCATAAAAGTCGGTCTCGACTTATGTACATCGATTCCCGACCTGTGAATGCCGTTTTAGGCACACAACCACCCGACGTGGACAGGACAGAGCTTTTTTGCCTCGCGAGACTCGCATCACAATATCCCAACTTCGCTCTGGCTACTGCAGCAGGATATACTTGTACCTGTAGCAGAGTGAACGCAGATTTGGCCAGTTGGTGTAAGGCATGCGGAGAGTCGCCACATGACTCACGGCACTGCTTCGCATGCTCCCGAAAAAAATAAAAAAAGATTTGAATAATTTTGAGATTTATTTCACCATCTGGCACTGCCGTCACTTTGGGGATACAGAGTTGATTGAGCTCAACGCTGTCATTGCATAGCTAGCGCGCTCCGCACCCAATCGCTGGATGGTAGGTAGGGAGGTAGGCGGCCGGCAATGGAGCATACACCGATGTGCTGATTTCGTTGCTCAGCTTGTTGGTTCATTCTTCGAAGCTATGTCGTGCGGGCGCTACACGTACTAATGTATTCTTTCTCTAAACTCACACATGCAAATTCTATTCGTCTACAGTTCCCCTAAAATAGAACAAATGTGAAACTGAAGCAAAAAGATCGTAAAATAATTGTAAAATATCAAACAAACTTGTTGGCGTGTTCAGAGCGTTTAAAAAAGAAAACAAGTGTTTGCCAAATTAGTAAAATGTAAAATGTAGAAATAAGTACAAGTAAAAAGTGCGGGTTTCTCTTGGTGGGCAACAAGTGCGTGAATTCGTTGAAAGTAACGAGTTTTTTTAATTTTCTTTAATAAAAAATACGCCGCAAAGAGGAAGTTAAACGTATTTTATTGCAGTTATTTTTAATATGAAAATCAAATTCTTTGTTTTTGTAGAATAAAAAAAGATCAGTGAAGCGCGAACAAGCACAAGCAGCTAAAAAAAGCTGAATTTACTTACAAAAATACGTAAATATATTTTCAATTTACTAATCTTAATAAAAGAAAAACACCAAATTTTAGCAGTAACTAAATAAAAAATAATAATTAAAAAACTCAAATTCATATAAAAGCAAACAACGAAGGCTGACATAAAAAAAAAATCTTTTTAACAAAACACAATAAAAACCACTAAAAATAATTTATTTAAAAGAAAAATCTAGACGGAAATCATTGTAAGCTGCACNCACATTTTTGCGAATTTCTCGGAAACCAAAGGAACACCTAAATTAATTTTGGAGGCCCTAATTAACACCTAAAAGACACCTAATTCCTAGCTAATTTTTATTGATTTTTGGCGACTTGGGTCAGCTAGGTTTATGGACGTTGCACATACACGTTTATTGAGCGATCTATATTAAGCACAAAATTATTAAACAAAAACAACAATCGAGATAGATTAAAGCAACTGTATAATTAATTTGCCAAGTAGCAGCAGCAGCAACAAAAGTAACTTTAATTCATAACGCAAACAAATCACAAAAAAAAAAACAACAACAAGCATGGAAGCAATTGCCAAACACGACTTCTCAGCAACTGCCGATGACGAATTGAGTTTTCGCAAAAGCCAAATTTTAAAGGTAAGTGGCCAGCTGATAAAATGTGTATGTATACATAATAAAAATACCAATGTTTTATTTTTTTTATTTTGCTTATATGTGTCATTGGGTGGATGGGTGGGCTGTGTAGTCAAGCATGCCAGAGGTCAGCTGGCACCGTTGCAAACAGCACAAAAAAAAAATTATGTTGCAGCTGATAAGGGTTTTGTTTGTTTTCGAATGAAATTAAATGTGGTACATCTTGATTTCGTGTTCTTCCTTTGAGTAATTTGGAGCTTTGTGTAGCAAAAAGAAATACTTATTTTTGACTCGCGGGTCCAAGGCGTGGCTCCTGTTGTTGTTGTTGTTATTGTAACAGCATACAAATTCCGCAAAGAGATTTTGGGGAGTGTTGCTGCAGTGACAGTGCTTGGCCAGATATAAATCTGGGTCGTTCCGGTTACGTAGACCCGACTGTCGTGGGAACGTGCCTTCTGTTGTCTTCTATCCTGCTAGTCGATTAGATAATTCATAGGCTTAAACGAAACCAGTCCTGCGAAAGAACTGTCCGTAAAGCGCTGGAGCTGTGTAAAGTTGTTTGACGAAGACATTGCAGCATCATCTCTCCCGCAGTAACTAAAACGATGGACATGAACTACTTACATGAGTGGTCGACAGTCCACCTTCAGACCATTAGAGTTCATATACATACAGAGTGGTATCCTATCTAAGCTATTGGTAAACTTCCAGATCTCGAAACTTTCTCAGCCACCGGAGACCGGTTTCCTTGATCTGATATGCTGACGTTTGTGTTCGAAGAGAAACGGCTATCGCTCGGAACTTTCTCACTTCCTCACCGTATGGAGCCTAATCCTCTCCGCGATGAAATTAACGCATAATAGAGGGAGATCAATCGTTTAGTCTAATTACGGTCAAGATATTGTAGCTGCCTCAATATCAACCTGTCCAGACTCGACCCAGATATCCCTAATAAGTGCCCGGCATGTGAAGACTCCCTCCATGACACCTCGGGTGGTGAATAACTTGAAAATCTTAGGGGTTACCTTTGACAGAGCGCCACACTCCGGACGAGATGCCTTCTGATGTCGCCCAAAACCACCTACACAGCGAGGCCGCTTTGCTCGCAGTCCAGGACATAACATCATGCTTAGTAAACAGTTTCTAATTCGCTGCTACGCACAGGCACTTGCTGGGAGCACAGCCACCTCCCATGTATGTACATCACAAGGCATCTCTTCGAACTCAGGGACGCGATAGAGACACATTTCACTCAACCATTGGATCCGACAGTGTACCGACAAGCCATTAATGGCACTCGCAGCGAGTCCCTCACCAACTTCGGTGACTACCGATAGCAGAGGAAGAGCTTCAGCTGTCGCGATGGACCAGCGCGATTCTAGCTCAATTAAAGTCTGAATACTCCAGTCGACTCCCAAAAACCAAACAACATATGTGCGGCTTGTAAAGCATCCCGCCACGACTCCAAACTCCTATTCTCTTCACCTTTCCACTTAAACCCCTTAAGCTAACATCCTTCTCCCGTAGGTTTTACCCCATCGAAACAGCGTTTTTCCTGGGCCTACCGTTATTTGAGGTTGACGACAGTCAAGGCAGGGTTTCACATTGGCATCAATCGGGAGCCGGATCTCACTCCCAACTCAACAATCTTCAGAAATCGGGTGATAGGGTGATCGTCAGGCTGGCGAATAGCTAAACTCATTGTTCCCAGAAGAACAGACGAGCTGTGGGAAAAACTTACATCTGACGTTACGAAGCGAGAAACGGTTCTTACTGGTCATTAACCGTTTGGTGCCAACGCCAGAAAGCTGGGCATTGCCTACAATAAATTCGATAGAAGCTGCGGTACCGAAAATGAACAGTAGAGTGAAGTGTAGTATGCACTGTCCGAACGTAAACTACCTCATAAAACTGCCAACCACATGGAAACCTGTTATATGTTTCAATAACTGCTGGTCAGAGTCCTTACCCTATTTTCAGCACTGTTGAAGGGCATTCCTAGCACCAATTATTTCAAGACTTATGCTGGAATTCCGCTTGGCATCAAATGGCAAAAATTATACTAACAAAGTTTGGCATTCAAAAATATTCATGTCATTACGTTAAAATAATGGCTAGTGTTCTATCGATGATTTCAAAATACATAATCGTCACCCCATCTACATAAGAAAAATTTTTATTCCGTTAAAGTTTATTTTCGTTAAATTCCTATCAGCGATAACTATAGAAATCACGCTATCGATAAAAATCGATAAGCGCGCTAAATAGATATATACGTAATGAATGTATAATAATTGAGAATAAAATAACGATATCTATTTCGAAAAATATGTCAAGAAATATAACGTTATAGATATATAAAAGTATATCGATTGATATTTCTGGAAAAAATTTATTGTAAATTATCGCGAGATGTTATCGATAACTGTAAATGCATCGATAACGATACCGTTCGATAGTTCAACAAAAACTGGTTTTTAGATCGATATGTTTTCGATTAATTCCAAATAGATATATAAGTCCCACCCCCCTCAGTGCAATTTCACTATGTCTTTATCAGCGATAACGGTAGCTGTCACATTATTGATAACAGAGATAAATAGATAATGAAGAAGAATGAATATATATTATTTGAGATAAAAAAGCGATAAAATATATCGTGAGAGATATCTAAAAGTTTATGGTCAACGATATTGTTTGTGACTTACTTCAATACAAAAATTTATGTATATTTTCCCGAGAAGATATCGATAACTAAATCCGTTTATAAGAATATCGATAACGATATCGTTCGATAATTCAACAAAATTGGGCTTATTAATTTCACAGTGCTGGTTAAATAATGAAAAAGTAAGTACCAAAGGATTTGAAAAAGTTGGTTGCCATTTCTTTCTTGTCTCAATTTCTAATTTCGTGTTTTCACACGAAAACATATTTTCCAAAGTTAACGGAGCGGGAAGGGGAGGGGATGGGAGGAGTTTACTAGCTTTATATATATGTATATGTTTATATATATGTATATATATATATGTTTTATATATATATACATATATGTTTTATATACATATGTTTTTATATACATACATACATATATGTTTGGAGGTATGAAAATTGATTTGATATTAATTCACATTTTGACCTCTTTTAATGAATGCAATTGGTCTCATTCCCGTCACTTTTTGAGTGTTGCACTGAGTTATTACACCGATAAGTTTTCGATGAACTCCAAATATATACATAATCGCACCCCTTAAGATACTATTATTCTTCCGTTAACTTTCTATTTTTTTTAAACCCTTATCAGCGATAACGATAGCAATCACTTTATCGATAAAAAACGATAACAGTGATACAAACATATATAATATAGATAAATAAATGGACAATAATTGAGATTAAAGAATCTAAATTTATTTCTATAAATACAAATGTCAAAAACATATTGTCAAAGGTATATAAAGTATATCGATAACATTATCGTTCGATATTTATATAAAAAATAACGATATATTCGCACATCCTTCTACACTTAAGTTAAAATTATTCTTCCGTTAACATTTTTTTTAATTCTCAGCTATAACGATAGCAATCGCTTTATCGATATAAAAAAATATAGCAGAGATAAATAGATAATATAGATAAATGAACGGCTATCTAATAATTGAGAAAAAATCGATATTTATTTCGATTAAAATGTACTTCAAAAACTTTTTGTTTAAGATGTGCATATACATATCGATAACAATATTGTTTGATGCTTCAATAAAAAAGATATCGATAACAATAAATGCATCAATAATGATATCGTTAAACAATTCACCAAAATTGGTTTACGGATTGTTATATCTATAAGTTATCGATAACTATAAATATGTCGATAACAATATATTGGCTATAAATCAGTAAAAGTGTTGATAAGTGATGAGAACATAGTCACCTCATCTCGCATAAAATCTAGTGAGTGCCACGAATTGACTTACTTCATTTGCGCTTAAAGTAAGCCAAAAAGCAAGTAATTAAATCACGCACTTTAATTTAAATAAACTTTAGCTCAACAACAGTAATATGAATATAGCAGAATCGTTATCCATTCAACACATAAGAGTATTACCAACGAAGACCACCTGCTGCTGCGTGGGGAGAGGAATACAAAACACACTCGTGCACACAAACATACACATTTTAACATTATAAATAAATTTTTGTTCAGTCCGTTGTCTGTTGGTCGAATACAACACGTATGCCATATAAATAAAATACATTCTGGTATTCATTGCATGACTCAGTTTTGTGCATAAGCTTTACATTTCTACACAAGTATTCGCACATCCATAGGTACGTTATCGTCGTTAAGCTTCTAAGAAGTGAATGTTGGCGAAGTCCCATGTGAGCACTCAACACTCACTCGCTGACTTATCCAACAACTGGCTTAGAAAATGCTCCTCAGTCTTCCAGTTATTCATATGCAAATCTGCATGGCAACAACAATAACAACCACAATAGAACGAGTTCAACGTCATCGCCATATAGCCCCATCTCTAGTCACAGCTAGCTAGCCAGTCGGCGAGGCAAGCAGCCGTTGGAGCCAAAATCGACGTGTGTTTTGCCAGCTCGTTAAGGTGAAAAGTAAATGCATGCAGAGTTCAAGAGATTTTCTACACAGCGAAATGGCAACAAAATAAAAACAAAACAAAAAAACAGAATGTAGAAAAGAAAGCATTTTAAAGCAAAAAGCGGAATAAAAAGCTAGAGAAAAATTCATAGTTTTGTGGGAAAGAACAGCTTTTGGGGTCTTTTTTGTAATTTTCTACTTCATCAGCGTAATTCAATTCGAGTTGTCAACAAGCAGCGCAGGGTGACTAGTATATGCAGCTTCGTTTGTCCACCTCATATTCCTTCTCTGCCGCACACTCTTTTTCATTTTACCGACTTATTAAATTTAAGTTCGTCGCAAACCCTAGACACTTGTTAATCTGTTGCTTACTCGGAACTTGAAATTAATA